TTTTGAGGGCTCAGCCAGAGGACCAAACTCAGCCTCATTTGGAGTTCCCACTTCCTTTTCTGTCAAAGCTTGACGGTTTTGCTGCGAGTCTTCCACCAAACTGCACAACTCCAGTTCTTGCACTGTCTGTACATGCCGATATATTTTGTTCATGGGAAACATTGATAATTCACTTAGGGTTTTTGATTGGGGAATTGTACCTAAACATGAAGCTGCATTTCCTCTTTGAATCAGAACGCTAATTTTTTGAATCAACAAAGAGGTAGCTCTTGGGTCATTCGTTTCTTTGGATATCCTATTGCCGATTTCGCGAATGAACTTCAATGCTTGGGGGCCTAAGGTACCAAATGTTTCGCTTCCTTATGCATGAAAAATGAAATTATCTCCCAAATAATTGTATTTCCGTTTTTTTTTTACGATTCCGCTGATGAAGCTGCTGCACCGCTGGATACAGAAGTCGAAGGAACGTGACAAGGAGCCAAAGGATCGACGCATGTGAAATCCCAGACAACCGGTTTTCCTTTCCGCCAAGGAATGAGAGTCATGCCATCTGGTCGTTTCCCATCATCGCTGCAAGTGCCTGAGGGTTATAAGATGGAAGGTATATTTGCCGAACCTAAGGCACGTTTGATGACATCATTTACAGCTTGATGACGAGAAAAGCGCCCGGCGCTATATCTACAATTCAATCCATGATATCCTCGGGTGTCTACTTCCACTCCACACTTGCATTGTTTATTTAAAAAAAATTGTTATAAACAAATTTTTTTAAATTTTTTTTTCAATACTGTGTTCTATAATAAAAGTAACTATGTGTTTTTTTATCTATTTTATTTTTTATAAAGTCCCAAATTTCTAAACTCCATGGATTGAAATGTTCATTTCAGAACATCAAACGCTTCAACCTGCTTGCAGAAACCTTCCCATTATAACGAAACATTATTGTCTTTCGAGGTGCCCTCAGAAATCATGTCTTTCAATTAAATTATAACGATACGCTCCATGCGGATGTTATTCTCAGAACGTGTCGGGCTCAAATTTAAATAATTGTCTTTGCTATTCCCGACCCATATTGCACAGATAAGAGAAAACCCTACTAACTCATTTTAAGGGTGAAAATGAATTTGAACTTTTGGTTGTTGAGTCCTGCTACCATTGAGTAGTCACAAAGTTGAAGGTGAAGAAAGATATTACATGTTAAGGGAGATATACTGTGTGAGAAAAAGTTGAGGCTTCCAATGAATCATTTTGAGGATGCATTTCGTGTTCTACAGAATAATATGTAAGATATTGGAAACTACTGATTGATACTGCAGATATGAATCTGTGATGTATTCAACTTAAATAATAATACAACTTCTTACTCTCCGTTCTTTATTCTGTCGCTCACCTAGACATACTACTATAATAGGGGAGTTCAAGCGGGGATTTCGGGATTTACTAAAGCGCGGCAGATTAATATACAGGGGAATACTTTGTACCCGGTTAAGTACCTCCACCAAATATGAGCTCCATATATAAGGCCGCCTGTGAGGAATAAAGGATCAGATTGGTAAAAAAAAATTGATCATCAGAAATTCTCGAGCTCGTCAGATTTAAAATAGGGTGAGTTAATTACCTTCTGAAAAGTGTATATTCCAGTAATCTGACGATTTGAGAGTGGCGTAAAGAAAGGGGAGGGCAGCAAAGTTGTAAAAAAATAATGTCATTTCGACATTCTCGAGCGTAGAATTTTTTTTTTATTTTGAAGGAAATAATTCAAGGATAACGAAAAATATATAATCTGACGATTTCCGCAAGCCGAAATAATAAAAAATCGTCGATTAAATTCAATGCGTGCAGCTGTGTGATACCTATATTTCCCTCTCCGAGTTTCTATTCCTCTATTCTCTATTCACTTTTTCTCTATCTATTACTCTCTCACTCCGACCCCACTCTGAATTCTGTTGTCATGACGCCATCACAGCTGATCACAGAGACTCGTTCGTGATGAAAATGAAGATGATGATTAAATTATCAATTAATTGATGGATGTAGCCGTTACTACGTGGTAGGAAATCATAAAGAAGAAAAGAGAAATGAAACTTTCTATGTTTTTTACTACTTTCATTCGTAACTAACATTACTGCAGTTTCATCTTATAAGGACATTTTCAAACTTATACAATATATAAGTTTGAAAATGTCCTTATACAATATATAAGTTTGAAAATGTCCTTACAGGACGAAACTCCAGTAACGTTAGTTACAAATAAAAGTGGTTTAAAACATACACTTATTTATTTGCATGCTATTTCCTTAGTTTTTCAATTAATTAAGTTCAAAGAATTGAAATATTTTTAAAAAAATTATTGTTTTTATCAGATTAAACGAATCCCTCTAGATAATCGTCAGATTATGAGACAGCACGTCTAAAACATAAGGATGAACCATATATATAATCTGACGCGCTTGAGTATTCCAAAATGGCGATTTTTTTTTGCACATTATAATAATGGCCGCGAGTTTGCGTCAGATCGAAATCGTCAGATTATTGAATAGAAGTTTAACCTTTACGTACAACCACCCACTTCATGCAAACGATCAGATAAACATACCAACATTATTAAAAATACGTAGGACATTGATGCTATTGATATCTGACGCGCTCGAGTATGTCCATGCAACAAAAATGAGTGGTTTTCATAACTCTTTGAATGACTTTTGTGGCGAGAAAATGAATAATGTTTTGAAGAAGGACTCCTAATTTCACCAGCTTCTGCAGGGATCAGCAAACTCGATGTTGGTGCTGATCTAGCTTTCAGTTTATACTGTCATGCATCGTATATCAGTAAAACTCACCAATGGTTTTGAAATCTGTATGGAAACCATCAACCGTTATCCTTGAATCTCTTCCAGTTCGCCTGAAGGTGACCTCGTGCCAAGTACCGTCGTCTATTCTTCTTCTGGATCCACGTTGCTTGGAAGGTCCAGAGCCCAGATCCAAATGCACGTAGATATGACCGTTGTAAATTTCTACAGCAAATAAGTCAACCTGAAATCGAATATTCAGTAAGATTCAGTATCTATTTAGATTTTGGAAAATTCATTATGAATCGAAAAATTCATTTATATGTTGAACGATATATTCTGCTGGAGGATTTGAAATATCTCGTCGGAGATCAACATACGTTTACATATAGATCAACGGGTATAGAGGAGGTGGGGTACAATTTTTCATTTTTCAAGCAATGAAATTTCACACACTGTTAGTCGTTTTTCATTATAGATTCGATAAGTTTTGATGTACCTACTCATGAAAAAATATAATCGAAAGGAAGTAGTAACGCTGTATCACCTGGTTTTAGAGAATAAGAATAGAACAATTAACGAAGGAAATTAACAAAATGAATGAAAAACTGATTTTCAGCATAGAGGAAGAAAACTACTCGAAACTCAACTACCTGGACATAACTATTGGATATAACCACAACAAAACAAAATTTCAAATGACACTATACAGAAAACCTACACAAACAAGCTCCACCATATCTGCAAGTTCGAACCAACCACCATCACACAAAATGGCTGCCTATAACGTATTCATATACAGAATGCTGAGGATACTACTTAGCACTAAAGCCCGGGACAAGGAAACGAAAATTATATACCAAATAGCAAACGAGAACGGATACACCCAAAAGACAACTGATGAATTAAAAAATAGAATCAAACAAAAAATACAGAACAAGGACCAAACTACTCCAACAGATGAAACAACCCAGCGATGGACTGCATTCACATACATAAGGCACTAAACCAAAAAATTAACAAACATCTTCAAACGCTTGAACATCAACATCACCTACAAGCCGAACGCGAAAATAAATCAACAGCTATGAACAAGAAGAAGACAAAAACCTAAACGGAGTGTACAGCATTCAATGCTCGGACTGCAAATATCGGCCAAACCAAGAAAAAACTGATCCAAAGATACGACGAGTACAAAAAAGCATACATAACCCAATAACATATAAATCAAACCTCGCAACACACGTCATACAAAACACATAAAACATTCCCCCACCAGAAAACATCTAACTCATAAAACAAGTCAATAAAGGAAACCGTATGGACATCTGGGAAACCCTAAACATAAATTGAAAAGTCATATTTCACTTATCGAGGAACAAATACAAATCAAAACATAATAAGACCTAACATTCAATATACTACAAAATACAATACACATTCCTAGAAACAATGAACAAAGGATATTAGCAGATGTAACCCAAATACAGGCAAATTTAAAGAAACATCCGGATGACAAGAGGGGACAAATACCTGCACTAAGGCGTTTTAACCGTATAAAAAAACAAACAGGAAGATAAAACGTACAGTTTCAGTAGAGCCATGAAGATGATAGCATAGCCTGCTATTGAAAGCGCTCGTATGAAATAAGTAGAAGTTATTGAAGCTTTGCAAATTCTGCAAGACAGAGGATGAAGAATATCGCGGGTCAGAGCTTCAAAACTTTTTGAAACTCGGTCTGTTTCTATGAAGTGAATTTGTTGCGGTAACAAGCCTGCTATAACAAGAATTGATGTCGTTACTGATTACCAGTGTTAACAATTATTCGTTTGAATGAAAGGGCAAAAATGGAAACTATTAACTTCTTTATATACCTTTCTTTCCATTCGCTAATCGTTGGATAGTGACTCAATAATGTTAGTTTTTGTTATTGGATTTTAATGTATGACAGTGAATTACTTCTATATTCAAAGCCGGAGACCCACATTTTGTTAATAATTACCGACCAATATCTGTCATTAGTAATATTGCAAAATTGTTTGAGGAAAGTATAGCCAGTAGGTTACAAAATCATGTCGATCACCACCAACTAATCTCTCCCAAACAATTCGGATTCAAGGCAAGAAGTTCCACTGGAGATGCACTGCATTACTTCACAAATGAAATCTACCAGCACCTCAATAAAAATAATAAAGCGTTGGGCATTTTTTTAAACTCAGCTAAAGCTTTCGACAGCATTTCACACGATAAACTCTCGAAAAAACTTGGAAAATACGGGATTAGACGCTTACCGTTATCATTATTTATCGAAGAGAAAATCTGTCGGTGAAATAAAAAATAAGTTTAGTGAATCTTTGGAAATCGAATATGGTGTTCCTCAGGGAAGAGTCCTCGGACCCAAGTTATTTCTTTTCTATATCAATGAAATCTTGAATATAGAAGTAGAAGATATCATCTCATATGCGGACGATACGGTTCTCCTGTTCCATGGAACAAATTGGCAGGAAGTTACGAAAAACGCAGAAAAACGTTTATATCAAATCAAATATTGAATGGACTGTAATCTCTTGAGCTTAAATGAGAGAAAGACTGAATTCATAACTTTCACAAACAGTCCAAAAGTTAAACCCAACCTGAAAACAATTAAATTTCATGAGAGATGTGACCTGACCAACTGCGATTGTAAGATGACGTTTATCTTCAAATGTGGTTCACATAACTTGAAACGATACCATTTGTGTCTTGGAAAATACAGAAAATATGAAAGAGTTGTCAAAGTATGTAGATGGAACAATTTGCATTGTTTGGCATCTGGCCAAAAAGGAGACGCAAGTTAATGTGCTCGTGGGAGAATTAAACGACGAACAGATCAGCCAGAACTTGGGAATTCGCGACGTTATCCCAGGAATTAGGAAACTATTTGGCGTTAGTGGATCCTGAGATAAAACTTGGAAGACGTCCTAGTTGAGCATAAGGATTACATGAATTTAACGTTAGATTCAAAGAGATCACTTAGCGGATGCCTGTTTTTATAGAATATATTAACGCAAATCAAAATTGTGTTATTTTATTTTGAATTCATATTCAGTTGATGGATGTTTCCTCACGACTGTCGAAGATTCTTCAGAAAAAAAGGTAATGGATTGCTAACTAGAGTTTATATGCTTGGAGAGCCATGGTCGTGGATTTTATGTATCGTGGAACACTATTTTAACTTCGACATCAGAGTCTCCAGGACGTCAATTCTGTGTGGTACACGACCATTTGTTCGACGAATCATTCTTCATCATGACAATGCGATCCCTCACACATCTTTTCAAACAAGTAAATTTTTAAACAGCCAAAACGTCGAATTGATGACTCATCCTCCGTACAGTCCTGATTTGGCACCCAATGACTTCTCTTTCCTGAATATCAAAGGTGTGATCTACATGATCAACGATTCAAGAGCGCCTAAGAAGCAGTTGAAGCGTTCAAAAACCACGCTTTCGAAAAATTGTTTGAACGAATGCAAAAACTTATGGATCATCAAGGGAAATATTTCGAATAATAATAAAGCCTAGCACCCGAGTTGAATTTTTCGGCAGCCTCGACATCTCTAATTTCTCTTTGAAGGCTCACAAATTTGGTACAGACAGCCCAATTTTTCCTTTATTCACAAACCAATCTGGTTTTAGAGCCAGACATTCATGCGAATACGCACTTAAGCTTTTACAGTTACTGAATGGAAAGATAAAAAGAGTAAAGGCATGTACACTGTAGCAGTATTTTTAGATCTTAAACTTGCGCTTGAAACGGTTAATCGTGAAATATTAATCAAAAAATTAAAAAAATATGACATTAAAGCAAAAGTACTCGATAGGATCAGTGATTATCTCACAGAAAGGAAGCAGGTAACCAAAATCAATGAATTTGTATTAACAGCAATAATCATAGACCACGGGGTTCCGCAGGGAAGTATTTTGGGGCCATTACTATTCTTAATTTACATTGAAGATATCAGCAAATGTAATGAATGTGAATATTAACATTATTTCGCTGATGATGCCCTAGTATCGGTTAGTGATAAAGATATAGACAAAGCTATTAAAAAAATGAATGAACCATTGCATAATATTGCTACATATTTGAAAACTGATAAATTGAAGCTGAATGTAAACAAAACGAAGGCTATGATACTTACTACACCGTTTAAATACAGAGAATTAGATTCAAATAAAATTTAAATGAAAATAGAAAATGATAAAATTGAGCTCATTACTGAACTCAAATATTTAGGATTCATGTTAGACAATCATCTATCAATGAATAACCATTTCACCCACATACAGAAAAAAGTTTTGAAGAAATTATATTTTTTCACAAGAGTATCCCAATACTTAACTATGCAATCACGTATAACTGTATATAAGACAATTATACAACCACATTTTGAATATTGTCCCACTTTTCTATACACAAGTGATTTGAATAAATTGAGAACACTACAAAAACTACATAATCGCGCAATGAGAATTATTTTGAGATGTGACAGGAGTACCCATATATCTATAATGTTAAATACTCTAAAATGGTTATCTATAGAAAGTAGGCTTTTATATTCAACGATGATTTATTTTAACATAATGTTACATAACCTTCTACCCTCATATTTTGACAAATTTGTAATTTTTAATAGTCAAATCCACCAGTATAATACTAGAATAAAAAATAATTTGTATGTAAATAATCAAACAAAAACATTCAACACTAAAACATTAATGTTCAAAGGATTTATTGAGTATAACAGTCTACCTGGAAATGTAAAGTCTTATAACAGTCTTATTCTGTTCAAAAGAAATTTATTAGACCATTTAAGTGACCATTAAGGTGTTAAGTGATATTTTTTATCTTTTATTTTTTTTTGTATTTACAATTATCGTAGGTAAGACTACTTATTAACAAATATAAGTAGATCCGTTTTGCATTATTGTATTTATATGTATATTAACTACTGCAAATCAATTGGTGTTTAGTCACTCATCCATCCAGTAATACAAATAAATTAATGACAATAGCAGAACTTTGAGAGAAGTTGAAGTTCTGAACAGCTTACATGAATTTGAATATTCTGAATTCACCAAACTACTGAACAGGTATCTTGTTCTCCTTATTAATATGAGATTACGTCGTCAAGTAATTTACAGAATCGTTCTAACAAATCCACCTCAATATGCAGATCCGGGTGGTTATCTGGGATATTAGGAAACCATTTAGTCTTAGTGGAAGACAGAGAGAGATGAGAGATAGGAAACTACTTGACATTATAATTAAAGTTGCGTCGTTAGCCGAAGAGTTGTCTAACTTCTGCCAGGAATCCATTTGGGTTCCCTATATAATGTTGACATACAGTACGAACGTGGAAATTCTACCCTCTCCTAACTTTCGATTCAATTTCTGACATTTTGGAATACAACTATCAGTAATTCTGTCTCTGACTTTCCGCATTGTCACAGGTTGCATAATATAAACTTTCAATGTGATAGACTCAAAAGAAAAAATTGAGAGGAGTCAAATCCGGTAAAAGAGCAGGACATTCCAAAGGAGCGCGCCTACCAATGTCAACATGCCTGGGAATCTCTGAACAATATCTTCCAAGACTGAAAGATGTGTGTTGAGAAACAACTGGATTTTTTAATTCGTCTTGACTGTTGCCCACAATTTCTGGAATCCGTAGGAGAATGGGGCTTGTACTTGAGGTTAACAATCGGAGGTACAGTTTATAGACGTTCGTATACAGAGGGCTTAACTAAGGCGAAATTACCCAGTGATAATACTAGAAGAGGATGAAAAAAGGGACATTGATTGAAATTCATCAAAACTGCTGTCAATGAAAAAAAAAATTGATACTTTGTCTGTGAAAGTCTGGGAGTGTAGAAAATCTAGTATCAGCAGAAGTTAAGGAATTCCACAATTTTTGAGCACAATTTGATTTTTCACCTAATAGAGAATCTTCCTTGTATCCAATAAAAATCGGGTTTTCAGGGACAAAACACAAGCACTGCAGAAAACTCGTTAATGCGCTCCAAAAGCGGTCCCTGTGTGATTGTGCGTGCTTTTTTCTTGCCATAAATGTTGCAGTTCTATATATCTTTAGAAAAAAATACTGGGACCCTATTTTGTTGGTATCAACACGATTACAGCTGAAACTATAGCAAGCATAGGCAAGAAACTGTACATAATTTTCAAATCGAACATTTTTGCATAGCATGGTTGCCAAAATCTGGGATCTATTATTGTAAGAAGGTCCCAACATTATAATAGGGATATCTCCAAGAAAGTTGGAAGGAGTTTAGGTAGACAAAATAAGGAATTGTGAAAACTTCAACCCTGGAAACTACAAATCCATGTGGAAACTTTTCGAATTGATTTTCATCAATCGAAGATGTGTTTTAGCTATAATCCGAAGTCGAATGTATACCGTAACTTTTTCAAAGCAAACTACGATACTCTGAACATTGAACTCAGTGGAAAGGACTGGGCTGGAGTATTTTCTGGAAAGGACGTTGACACGTGTCTATATCAGTTCTACTCGACAATCTATGATCTTATTGACAAACATGTCCCCGTAACAAGAACAAAAACTGGGTTTCCCATATATTTCAAACGTGAAACCATTCAAATCATATTAAAAAAAACTGAGTACACGAAAAATTTAAAATATACAAAAACCAAATCGACTATCTGGAATTCAAAAACTTGCGAGCGCGTTTTAAGGAACTCATTCGACGTGATTTTCTAGAGTATTCTAAAAATATGGAAGGTGAAATCAATAGGAACTCGAAAATGTTTTGGAAATTCATAAAAAATTTGAGAAAAAATACAAATTGTATCCCAAGCTCGTTATATCTTGACAATGAAACTGCAGATACCGGGGACACAATTTGTAACCTTTTTGCTTAAAATTTCAAGAACAACTTCATCCAACCTATCGACATATTTGATCCAACATCTCCCCAGTCAAATCCGTCGAAATAAATGAATATACCTTACTGACAGCCATTACCTCGTTAGATATAAAAAATGGGGAGGTCCTGATGATATACCCGTTTCCTTTGTTGAGTAGTGCAAGTGTCTCGCCTCTACAATATATTTTCCATAAATCATTGCAGAATGAAATTTTTTATGCCAAATGAAAAATTTCGCATATCGCACCAATCTACAAGAGTAGTGACAGACACAATGTAAAGATTTATAGGCCGATCAGTAAATTATGTGTATTTGGCAAACTTTTTAAAAAAATTATATATAATAACATCTTTGATACGGTCAACGACATCATAATCAGTGAACAGCATGGTTTCTTTCCCCATAGGTCGATAAAAACTTTTAATAGGATTCACCGATTTTTTGTTGAACTCGATGGATAAACAGGTTCAGGTTGATGTTGTATACACCGACTTCTGTAAGGCCTTTGATAAGATTAGTCACAAAACTTTATTAAACAGACTTGGTGAAGTCGGTGTAAATTACTTTTTATTGAGATGGATATGGTCCTATTTGAATAACAAGTCACAATTTGTGGCCATAAATGAATTTACGTCACTCCCCTTCACGGTATCCTCCGGAGTTCCTCAAGGCAGCCATTTGGATCCTTTATTCTTCACTATATAGATCAACGAAATCTCTAGTTGCTTCAATAAGTGTAAATTCTTACTATATGCCGATGACTTCACAATCTATCACACAGTAAAGAATTCATATGACAGCGGAGAAATTCAGGAGGACTTGAAGCGGCTCGAAAAATTCTGTGATGATAATGACTTGTTTCTCAATCCACAAAAATGCGTGTCAATCTCATTCTCCAGGAACAAAAATATAACCAGAAATAATTATTACTTTGAAAATCACGAATGGAAATCAGTTTCAGAAGTTAAAGACTTGGGAATAATTATGGACTCGAAGTTGTTATTTAATTCACATATAGAAAAAACCGTCAATGAATGTAATAGTATCATTGGATTCCCCAAAAGAAACTGTCAAAACTTCAGAACGACAAAACATCTCCTCAATTTATATTATGCATATGTACATAGTAGGCTCTTCTTTGCATCGGTTGTTTGGAATCCTCTGTACCACATAAACGTAGATCGTATTGAGAAATCCAAAACAAATTTCTTAGCTACATTAGTCACAATTTAAATTTTCCAATTACGAATAGCGATTACAGTCCAATTATGCGCCAATACAATATTATGCCTATGAAGGATAGAAGAACTGTTGATGAAAGGATTAGTCCACTGTCCAGACTTTTATTCCAAAATTGAGTTCAATGTTCAGGGTAGAACGTTGAGGCGTATAGAATTCTTTGAGCTAACTTGCACAAGGACAAATGCTGCTCAAAATTCACCACTTTATAGAATGCTTAAAACCTTCAACGAAATTTGCAATGATATTCAATATTTTGAAATCTCTTTAGACTGTTTCAAATGCAGGATGAAAAAAAAATCATTGATAAGTTGTGATCATTTCTGTAGTCTCTGTCACTCTTATAAGAATTATGTTATTCTTCGATTGTTCAAGTGGGTTGTCTATTGGATTTGTTAATCTGTTTGTAACCCCTATATTGGTGAATAAAATAAATAAATATTATCAATCAAAATGTTCATGACATTTTGATTGGTTTAGAATGTTTCCTTATTTTTAAATTTTCATTATACCATCATCTGTTAATGTTTCTAAAATTGTTTTCGGTAATTCACTCATTGTATTTTTCGTTCGTTATTGTTTTGAACATATATTTTTAACTTTTTAGTTCGATGTTTTTTAAAAGCGTGTTTTTTAGTTTTCTAATTTCGTATTTTTTCTCGTATGTTATAAAACCGTGTTTTTAAGTCCTTTCAAACTATATTTATTTTATCTGAACTTTGGGATCAATCAGCTGTATATTGTTTGAAAAAATGACCATTGATATTTTTCGATTCCGGGGAGGAAGACTGAAAATCAGCAACCAAGCCCAAAGCACCAGGCGCGCAAGGAGAGTTACAAATAAGACAGCAGGCGCGCATGTTGATAAAAAAAATATTTTTTTTAAATGAAGAAATACATGTAAAGTGAGTTCGAATTATATCAAGTAGGTTACGTACAGCGCCATCTGCCCGTGAATAGATCAAGCAATAATGTCGATAATTCTCTCAAATACAGATCCCGTGCTTGATAGTTACAAACAAACATACATACGTACAGATGAAGCTAAAAAAAGCGTGTTGAAAAAAGAAACGAAAGAAACATTGCAAATACTGACAACATCAGGCCCAAAATAATTGGATGGATCGTCTGAAAACGAAAATATTATGAGGAAGGGAACAAACAATAAGAGTAAGTTAACAGATATGAAAACGCTAATTTATGAAGGAAACGAATTATTGTGACCTGTAACGAAAGTGAATCTAAAATCAAGTAAAATATCACTTATTGTGTCTTCCAATTTCATTACGATTGTTTGGAGAATTTACTGAAAAAAAATTGACTACTGCCCTGCTGGCTGAAAACTCTAACACCAGTTACAACAGCAGAAAGGGGTAATCAAACCGTAGACGAAAGTCAGACCTGAAAACCTATAAAGCATGGCAAAAAAAATACGGAAAATAACTTTCACACATCCTGAGAAGAGTCGATGGAAAACTCCGATTTTTCTCCACACAAAACGACTTTCGTTAAACATGTTTTTCTTGGGAATCTCCGATATCAGTCCAGACATCCGATCAAATGAACTTGAATATACTTTTGACCGACCTTCTGACATGAAACCGATTTTGAAGTTCCTTGAAGCGTGAATAACCGAAGCAAGCGGAAATAATCAAGTCTAATGGAATCCTTTCACAGATATCCCAAAAAATCCCGGGCGAATCCCATTTCTCCGACTGAATCTTTCTTGAATTACTTCATATTCAAACAAGCTCCTGCCGCTCACAAAACATTAGATCCTGATGAATTAATTCTGAAGCAAGATTGCTGAAAAAAAAAGTACGAAGTAAAAACTCACTCTGGGCGGTCTAATTCCACCGTTGAAGAGTATCAGGCCATTCGCTTCGTTCGTGCGGAACTTGAAAGAGATGTTTCCAGACTTCTTGGCATTCCAAGGTGGCAGGATCTGGAAATGAATAAAAAGAGTAAGTGGGGAATTCAAAAAACATTCAGTCAGTATTATAGGACAACAGACGATATTGAAAAAAATAATTCTGAATGAGATTATTGAAATAACAAAGCATGGAACACAGGGCCGTCGCCATGGGGGGATGAGGGGGGGAAACCTTTCCCCCCCTGCTTTTTTGACTTGGGAAAAAGTTGGGAAATTTTGGGCCGTGAGGTTGGAAAAAAATAACAGTAACTTCTCGATCCTTCGGAATAGTATCAAAGGATCTATACAGACTCGTAAAGAAAAAGTTGCTATATTTTCAAAGAACAATGACTTGGCATTACAAGAATAATCCTGTGAAACCTTCGAACATTTCAAACTTGTTTCACACCTTTATCGTATCCATCATCACTACGATATCAAAGTAATAATTTTCAAATCGAATAAATTTCGCATGTAACAGATTGTATCTGTCCCGAAACATAAAAATCTTTTACGAACTATAAAACCGTAGTTATTATCCCGATCTAATTTTAGATTTCCATGGAGGTTCATGAAGTTTAGGTCGGCATCGATCTGTCAGCGACGCCAACTGTACAGGCATGTGGAATAAGGTGCCTTGTCGTACAAATTGAACTTGATGATCTTAAAATGGATTTTGGTTGTTCCTAGACGGTTCGTGAACATACCGTATGTGATGAAATACGTATAGATATATGGCACTATAAGGTAGACAGACATATTTTGAGCTGGAAGTTCGCGGTAGGACTTGAGTCTGTTTACTCGAGACAGAAAGATGTTTCAGTTTGCGGAACAACTTTAAGCACTGAACCAAAATTGTAGAAACTTCTATTATAATGAGTTATTTTTTTGCTGGTATCTTTTTGGCAACACTGTTTTTGACAGATCAAGCGTGAATCGTGTCTTGTGTCATTGTCAAACTTTGTTTGGTCTATACCCACACAGCACTAGATATTCATGGAATATTCCCTGTATATCATAAAACGAACGTATATATTCCAAATATTCATAGAATATTCTTGGAATATATACATGCCTTTAGAATATTCATAGAATATGCTTGAATGAATATGGCAGGATTATTCCCGAAAGAATGTGCATAGAATGTCTATAAATGGATTATTCTCCCTTGAATATTCTAAGAATATTGTCGATCGAATATACCATATGATATATTCTTAGAATATATCCCCACGGTATATTTTGGAATATTCTATACAATGGAATTTTGAATTATCTTATAATAACGTATTCAAATAATTCAATATTATTAAAAACAAAAATATTTGAAGATCTTAANGAATATTCATAAAATATATTTAAAGAATATTCTATGGTGTTTCTCTATTGTATATTCCTACAATAAACTAAGAATATCCTGAATATTTTATGAATATTCCTCGGGTTCTATTCCTGGAATATTCTTAATAGAATATACCTTAGATATTCTAAGAATATTATAAGATATTCCAAGAATATTCCCAAGGAATATTCTTAAAATATATCAAAGGTTCGCCAGGAGCACTTCCAGGGAATATTCTCCAGAAGATATATATATCCATGGCATATTCATAGCATAATACAATATCCTTAAATGTATATTCATAAAATATACCTGGAATATCTATTGCTATGTGGGTAACTTTAACCATGAATCGACTTACGAATAAACAACGCTTGCAAATTATTGAATTTTATGGGCAGTTTCGTCGGCCTACTGAGAGAGCTATTCGGAAGCTTGTGACTAAATTTCGAACCCAGTTTACATCATTGGGCATTAAACCACCAACACGCATACGTAGAGTGAGGACCGAAGAAAATATTGCGGCTGTATCCGCCAGTGTTCGTGATGACCGTGAAATGTCGATTCGCCGCCGTTCGCAGCAATTGGGCCTCTGTTACCCCACTACGTGGAACATTTTGCGGAAGGATTTGGGTGTAAAACCTTATAAGATACAGCTGGTGCAAGAATTGAAGCCACACGACCTCCCACAACGTCTAACATTTGGTGAATGGGCGCTGGCAAAGTTGGAGGAAGATCCACATTTTTATCGAAAAGTTGTGTTTAGCGACTAGGCTCATTTCTGGTTGGATGGGAAAATGAGAATATGAACTAACATTAATCATCTTAAAACCTCACTGATTACATGTTTCCGTTGCTCTTTCTCTCTTTTTTTCTCTCTTATTGAGAAGAAATAACTTTCCTGACAACAGGATAAAAAATAAATTATTTATGTGAAAACAAAAGTCGAGTTTCTCTTAAACAATTTCGTTCATGTTTTGATGTCAAAACCAAAAAAAATCTACTTCAATTATAACGGAAGATATTGGAAGTGAAACAAATTCGGATTTTTCAGGAAAAAAGTGTAATCGTAGTAAGTTGGTAGTCCTGATCACGAATCTGGAGAAATTTTGAGCCTATTTTGCCCCCTAATATGTTTTACCGTAAACATGATGTGTTCCATCGCGAGTGGCGACAGTGTATATCACTTTGGTCAACCCCATTCAGGTGGTTGGTGAGCATTTCCATTAGTCCTGAGAGTTTCATCGTTCTACCTCGAATATTACGGAAGATACGGGGGTGTTTCCATGAGAAGTGAGATACACTGTATGTTTAAATCGAAAAAATTAATCGCGGCAAGATGATTCTTTGTTCCCCAACTGTAAAGCAGCTTCAACAAAAGCAACATGCACCGTTATTTCACTCATACTCACCAAGTGCGACTCCCTGGTGGTGAACGTGATGGGATCATGGGTCTCGCCCGTCGGACATTTGTAGTCGATCCTGCCCGCTACTTGTATGAGATGACTGCCTGACCTGCCCAACTCCAGCAGATTCAGCCTCAGTGTGTCCGCCACAAATTCCACCTGAAATTCATATTCGAACACGTTAAGCTCTTCCAAAGAACGGGGTTTATTGCGGTTGTGATGGGGTTTCGGGGGATTACGATTTCGGTCTAGGAGTGGAAGTGAAACGGCGGATGTTTCCGGGGCCGAAATCGAGAATGGGGATTCGGGACATTTGAATAATACAAAGAAGATTCGGGCTTTCAAAATTAGTAGTTGTTCCTGAAGTAGTCTACTTCCATGTATTCTGATAGACATGTTTCATTGACTGAAGGAGGTTATTAAAAAACGTTTCCCAACAATTTATTCCACCATGTTGTGAATTTAACAGACGAAAAACACATTGCAACTCCATGGGCTCATTGCTTATTCATTCACTGGGTTCATTGCTTATTTATGGACCAGGTTCACTGCTTATATATTGGGTTCATTGCTTATCATTCAGCGTTTTGTTTTTCATTGAGCTCATTATTTATTATTGGGATTATTGCGCATTGTACTTTTCATTGCTTATCGGGCTTGTTATTGCTTATATCTGGTGATTGACTCAATGCATATCTATTGACTGGAGGGGGGATTATTGGCAAAAGCTTTGCAACAAATTGATCCACCATATTGTGGTAATGTATTCATATACAACAGATGGAGAATCGCATTTCAATATAATGGGCTCATTGCTCATTTACTGACTGGGCTCATTGCTTGACTATTGACCAGGTTCATCACTGGGTTCATCACTTATCGTTGATATTGAGCTCATTGCTTACTGTACTTGTGGTTACTCATTTATTGACTGGGCTCCTTGCTTGATTATTGACCAGGTTTACTGCTTATTCATTGGGTTAATTGCTCATCATTGAGCGTTTTGTTTATCATTGAGCTCATTGTTTATTAGTGGAATTATTGCTCATTGTACTTTTAATTGCTAATGGGGCTTGTTATTGCTTACAGCTTGTGATTGACTCAATGAATATCTATTGATTGGGAGAGATAAATGACGAAAGCTTTGCAACAACACTATGTTGTGGACATGTATACATATATAACAGATGATGAATAGCATTTCAACACAATGGGCTACTGCTCATTCATTTACTGGGCTCATTGCTTGATTATTGGCCAGTTTCACTGCTTATTCATTAGGTTCATTACTTATCATTGAGGTGATTATTTAATATTGGGCTCATTGCTTATTATTGGGCTCGTTGCTTATTGCACTTGTTATCGCTTATCGGACTTGTTATTGCCTATAGCTTGTTATGCATATCTATTGCTTGGGAGATATAAATCACGAAAGCTTTGCAACAAACTGATTCAACATGTTGTGGACATATGAAGAATTGCATATCAATACAATGGGCTTATTACTCATTTATTGACTGGGCTTATTGCTTAATTATCGACTGGACTTTCTTCTTCTTCATTGATGGGCTTATTACCTATTGTAATTGAAGGAGATTAGTGACAAAAGGTTTGCAACAACTTATTCCACCGAAAAATATTAAATTGCAGATTCATTCGTTGACTGGGCTCATTGCTCATCGATTAACTGGGCTCATTGATGATTTACTGAGTGAGTTCATTGTTAATTCATATACTGGGATTAATACTTATTCACTATTAGACTCATTGCTTACTCTTGCTTATTATTGGATCTATTTCTCATTTTTGAGAATACTGCTCATTAGTATTAATTGTGCTTATTACTGCTTATGGGTTCTTTATGCCTCAGTGGGTTTATTATTACTTTCTGCTCACTTTTGGGTTCATTGGTTATTATGGGACTCATTTCTCATTCATTGCTTTCATTATGACAGGGATTATTGCTTATTCATCAACTGAAATTATTGCTTATTCATTGACTCATGGAATTCAACAAAAACAGCTTCGCAAAAATGTTGTGGGACGTATTCATGTTTAACAGACATTACAACTTAAAGGCTCTTTGCTCATTTATTAACAGCACGTATTGCTTATTCATTGACCAGGTTCATTACTCATTCATTAGATCAATTACTCATCATTGGGCTTTTTGTTTACTTTGCTAATTGAAATCATTGTTCAATATTAGGCTGATTTTTTATTATTGCTCATTGTATTTGTTATTGCTTATCGGGCTTATTATTGCCCATTGTTCATATTCGACTCAGAGTTCATCTATCGAGTGATGGAGATCAATGACAAAAGCTTTGCAACAAATTGATTCACCATATTGTGGACATCGTATATAGATGGAGAATCGCATTTCAATCGCATTTCTGCTTATTCATTGATGGGCTTAATACCTATTCAGTGATTAGGGGAGATTGATAAAAAAAGCTCTGTAACAAATTATGTCACCGTTTCGTATGTTACAAACAAATATGTTGTAGCTCCATGGGTTTATTATCCATTCGTTGACTATGCTCATTGCTGGGTTTATTGTTTATTCATAGACTGGGATTATTGCTTATTCATTGGGCTTATTGGGCTCACCAATCACTATTATACTAATTGCCTATTATTGGACCTATTTATTATTATTGGAAATACTGCGCATTGGTGTTAATTGTGCTTATTAACCATTTAATAATCTACCATCTAAAATACAAGTACTGGACGATTCTACATTTCATAAAGTTCATGTGAAATATCATCCAATCAAAACAACTACTTATTGACAATCCTTTTTTGAAATAGAATCATTCAACTTCTTATATACATATTTTCATTTTTACTCATCCAAACTAGTAAATTTCATTTTCAAAACATATGTATAGAGATAATGTTCAGTTTCTCATAATTCAACATTAACTTCATATCAAGATGCCGATCAAATGAAAGATTATAAAAAATCAGTTGCAAGCAGCAAGTTCGTTCTTTGCTATTGTTAGCGATAATTTCAATTACAATTCGATGTGGAAATGAACTAATGGAAATAATTGGAATGACCGAATCGTGTAATATGAATGGTTTCAAATTCCAAATTAAACAATCCAATTTCGTGTTGGAAATAATTGAATGAACGGAATATTCCAGGATTTTACGTGTTCAATTTTATTTTCGTTTCAAAGTAAATATGGCAGATGTATTCTGTTTGATATGGAATTGATGTTTTTGTTATTTTGTTATTTTGATCAGAAGTGAGAAATTGTAGATGGGTAGAAATATGGAAAATGATCAAATTGACTTATTTTACTCGGCGGTACCCACATTGTACCCACATTGTCACACGTAAACAAAATTCAGGTAATGCAGTCTCTTTCAATAAACATATTAGAAATACAAAAGACTTTGGAAAAGCTTCAACATCGAAATTACTCTAATTTCACTTTTGTTCGATCTACGCTGGTACATGCATCTATTGTGTTAAGTCCCCACTATCAGGTTCATATAAATCAAATATGAGCCCTACAGAGGCGGTTCGTAAAATTTATGTCTTTTAAACTAGAAGGCACGTATCCTATTGTAGGAATATCCTATTTATAAACTGCTTGAAATTCACAAGTTTTGTTCATGAATAATATTGTAACCTGCTCTAAATTGTTACATATGTTGAATTTTTGGGTTCCTCGACGGTCATCTAAGAATAGAGTCACCTTTCATCTCAACACTCCGCCAACAAATAGAATGAAAAACTCTCTAATTTATATAATGTGCGATACCTGTTAATCTGTTGGTGGTTCCCTATAGATAATATAAATCGAAAAACATTTCTCAGCTACCAGTTGTGTTTTCCATTTAATAATTTATATTAAAACACATTATATGCAATCGAACTTAATGAAAAAAAAGAATAGAAGGCAGAGAAGCAAAAGAAAAAGACAGAAAAGCAGAAAACAGAGGAAAAAAACGAATAAATGGGAAAATTTGGTGTTTTATATGTGAAAAATCATGTCACAAACATAATGATAAATTTCCACATATTTATGGTAAAAACATATTATGTATCGGTGTCAACTGATCAATGTTATAAAAGAAGAGAACCGGATTATAGCATATATCTCTACAGATTTTTCTTGACACTAAGTGGTGGTAGGGACTTCAATTCAATGGATAGCCGATTATATAAGCGTGCAATGTTATAAGAAAAGGATCCTCGAAAAAGAGAAGTTTTATGTTTAGGTGCAGTCAAAAGATATTTAAATCTCATTTTTTTTGTGGCAAAGGCAGTATTTCATATGTATATTCACTAAGTGATTGAATTATAGGTAAAACAACGATAAAAATAAAAACAATAATAAAAATTATTTGGCGCTCGAAGGCGACTTAATTGATTCCAGTATCGCATTTGCTTTTTCAGCTGCAGGAAAACCTTGAAAAACCTGAAGATCTTGATCTGCCAATGTTCTCTCTCTCATAAAACAAAATGTAGGGTATCTCCAGAGGCTCCAATAAAAAAATCTGTCTGTTTAAAATCATGTTCTCCCTTAAAATCGCTCAACAATTTGAATAACTTTTATTTTGTGTGTGAGAATTAACTTGACATTCACATTCATGTATTTCATGGCTTACTTCGAAAAAAAGAAATTATCGCTTATCATGTTTCTTGTGAAAATCATCTATCACTTTATCAATACAGTATTTTCATTAGTTTCTTGTTGATATATTCATTTTCTGAACAGAAATTTTTGGGTAGCTACAAATTTTCAAAAGACGTTTGGAAATTACGAATGACTTAGTGTTGATACAAAGATTATTGGTCTCTCTTTTTCAAGATGACCCTGACAGAAATTCAGTTGGATTTAAGTGAATACAAATATTTATAATCTCAATGAACGACATTATCGACAGGAGAACTCTGGATTTCAGTAACATTCGGAAATTCGAGCTCTTAATAAAAAATGATACCTAGTGATGATGTGGTTTCGGGAAGAAACGTCGGAAAATACAGATGTTGTGATACATCAACGAATTTGTGATTATAATGACTACAAAAATGTATAAAACGATATGCAGGTCCGTATGTAAAAAACATATATTGATGTTGGAATTCAATGAACGAAACGTTGCATTGAAAAATAAGTTCACCCAGATTATAA